CTGTTTCAGCCTCCTGAGTACTGGGATTGCAGGTATATTACCACCACAGTTTCACCAGCTTCAGATTTCAGATCTGGGGATTAGGGATACTCAGCTGATAACATCCATACAAATATTAAAAAATTGAAAAATTCTCAAAATCTGAATCACTTCTGGTCTTAAGCCTCTTAAATAAAGGAAACTTATCAAGTACTTTGTATCATATATGAAGTCTTATTAAACTATATTACTCTACTATTAGTAATGATATTAACACTGATGACTGGTGTGATGACAGTAAGCTACCTCTAATGTAAAAGTTTCATTTTTTTCCCCTTATAACTAACTATCTGTGACTACTGAGGTTTCATTAGGGGGACAATGGCAGATGAGCAGCAATATCTGTGAGACCAGGGGTCTACATGGAAGAAAGTCAAGATAAAAAGCCACAAATAGAGAAATAAGAGAAAGAGCTCCAGAAATAGAAATAAAACTAGGTGGGCTTTTCTCCAAAGGCAGCTAGTGCAGCCACAGCAAGCAGTTCACACTGAGCTGGGTTCCTCCAGGGAAGTGGGGTGAAGGGCTCCAGTTACCAAGCACTGCAAGAACAGAGACAGAGTTCATGTTGCTAGAAACCCAAATCAGATGATTTCAGTGGCCCTGGAGAGGAAAATGGAGCACAGCAAACGGCAGATATGCACCAGAAAAGGGGTATGGGAATGTAAAATCAAGATTTCCAATGTCTACCATCCTTTTTCCCTCAACATTGTTCCAAGGAGCAAGGGATTAGACAGCGGGAAGATCTCAGCGGGCAACAAGTCTGGCCCACCAGCAGAGGAGTGGCAGCAGCCCAAGGACGGAGCTCCAGAGAAGGGATATTCACAGTGCTCACCAAGTCCCCAGCCTTGCCATTGCCGGGTGGAGCAAACGATGGACTAGGAGCCTGGAAGAGTGCAGAGCAGTGTCCTGATGGGAGCAACAACCCCCAAGCAGCAGACTGCAGACAGAAGCACAGTTAAGGAGTCTAGGGCTGAGAGAGTCTCACAACTCCCCACCAGGCCACAGTAGAAAGGACCATGGGAAGTCTGTGACATAAGTAAGGTAAGTACAGGCACAGGAAGAAACGCTGACAGAGAGCATGATGCCTTCATTTTATTGCTCATTTGTGTTTGTAGATTTTAATCTTTAATTTTTACTTTCCATTTTTACACATTTTTAAGTATGTATATATTTGCACTTTAAACATTCAGTTATGCTGTAACTTATGTCTCATTGGAAAAGGCTTTTGTTTGTCCTTCTTTTCTCTAAACTACAATGTCCTTCTTTCTCTAATACAGGATTTTCTTACACCACATACATTGCTTATTCTTACTTTATCTCCTCTTGTCCTTTGCCCCATTCCCTCCTCACTTCATGACTTATTTAAGCCCTTAGCCCTAAAAACAAACAAACAAACAAACAAACAACTACATTACCATTTCCCCAACCAGTACCCTAACATCACAGTTTCCAAACCTTATAGTAGACACAGGTGAAGCACACATCTTCTGCAACTAACAGTGGAGCTGTGGTCAAACCATCATGTTGGTACTTCAGCTACCCCCATACCCATTCCCAGAACAAAATCCTAGTGAAGACAGTGTACCAGGAAGACTCACATGAAGTGAAACAAATGTGGAGAAAAGGGGGGAGAAACTAAAAACTGGAGGGAGCCCAGACACCTTCCAACAGATGTGCAAACAGTTAAAGAACACACACAAAAAAGAGAGCATTGCACCGCACTTCCAAACTGACAACTTCTGAACACCAGAAAACAAAGACAATAAGATAGCTGAAATGCTAAAAACAACAACAACAACAACAACAACAACAACAACAACAAAGATTTCAGAGTCTGGCTTTTAAAAAGGCTAAGTAACCATATAGGGGACTTAAATAAAAGAAAAAGAAATTAATTCAGGATCTAGACAAAAAAGTTGCCAAGGTGGCTGAAAGAATCAGTAACTTGGAGGAAAAATTGAGAAACACAGAGAAAAGATTCATTAAGGAAACTGAGATGCTGAAAAAGAACCAAACAAATTCTAGAAATGAAAGAATCAATCAATTAAAAAAAACAAAGACAAGAACAAGAATTCAGAACACTTTTCAGAGATGGAGGACAAAGTGAAGACAACAGCACATACAGGAATATACATGAACATAATCAAACATCTCAAGAAGTCTGGGATACACTCAAGAGACCAAACCTAGGGCTCTATGGGATAGTAGGAGCAGAGACATTATATAAAAAGACTTAAGACAATCTATTCTATAAATAATAGCCAAGAATTTCCCAAACCTAGAGAAACAGACATCCAAACACAAGAAGCATTTAGAATTAAGAATATCTCCATGACATATCATAATGAAAATTTCAAACATACATAACAAAGAATACTGAAAGTTGTAAAAGAAAATCAACTCATACACAGAGGCAGAAACAACAGAATAGCATCAGATCTTTCATCAGTAACACTAAAAACTAGGAAAGAAGCCAGGTGTGGTGGCGGTGCACGCCTTTAATCCCAGCACTCAGAAGGCAGAGGCAGGCAAATCTCTGTGAGTTCAAGGCCAGCCTGGTCTACATATTGAGTTCTAGGCCAGCTGGGGCTACAGGGAGACCCTGTCTCAAAAAGACAAAAAAAAATGTGTGTGTGCATGTGTGTGCATGTGTGTGTATGTGTGTGTGTGTGTGTTAATTTAAGGACTTAGACCGACTGGATGAAAAAAGAAAACCCAACACCTAAATAGGAAAGACATCCAAAAACCAAAAATCAAAGGCTAGAAATCAACCTACCAAGCTGACATAGCAATTCCCATTCTGATAAAGTAGACTTCAACCCAAAGTTAGTCAGAAGAGATAAAGAGTGCTACTGCATAACAATAAATGGAACAATTCATCAAGAGGATATAACTGTTTTAAGTATTTATGCACCAAATCTTGGGGCCATTGATTTCTTTAAAAAAAAGTGCTAAAAGGTGTTAGCAGGCCAATAATAGTCGGAGACTTCAATAGCCCACTGTCATATCTAGAAAGGTCTTCCAAACTAAAGGTCAGCAAAGAACACTGGGTCCTACCCCTAGATGCAGTCACTACTTCTACAGATATCTGGATTAGTTTAAGGAACATAAAAGTGTATGTTCAGAGGGCTGGAGAGATGGCTCATCAGTAAGAGCACTGACTGCTCTTGCAAAGGACTGTGGTTCGATTCCCAGCACCCACACAGCGGCTACGAACCATCCTAAACTCCAGTTTCAGGGGAATCTGAAGCCGTCTTCTGACCTCTGCGGCATTGCATGACACGGGTGCACTCACATACATGCAGGCAACACACTCATACACATAAAAAAAATAAATAAATAAAATATATTAAAAAAAGGGTATATTCATAGAAACTTTCAAAGATTTATCTGTGATACTGTAAGAACATAATGTTTGGAGGGAAATGCTATTTTGTGATACTTTTCACAAAATTTTCAATGGATTTTGACTAAATGTTCTCTCTGTTTTTGAATAAGTTATGGTACTTTGTACTCGCTGATCCAACAACTGACTTTCAGGTATGAGTCTTTTACAAGTCTCTTAATTCATCTGTGTCTGTGGTTTCCTTTTAACTCATGTCAAAATGTCTGCATTCAGTGAACTTGCTCAATTTTATTTTTTGTTTTTTTTTTGGTTTCTTGTTTGTTTTTTGAGACAAGGTCTTCCTTTAGCACCAGCTAGCCTGGAACTTGCTATGTAGCCCAGTCTGGCCTCAATCTCACAGACATCTGCCTGCCTCTGCCATCCGAGTGCTGGGATTAAAGGTGAGTGCCAGCACACCTGGCCCTTGATCAAGTTTTGTTCTTGACTAAGATGTATCTACTCATTCTATTTGTCTTTTTATCTTCATTTTAAAAAATATTTTATTTATTATTATTATTATTATTATTATTGGTCTTTTTGAGACAGGGTCTCCCTGTAGTCCCAGCTGGCCTGGAACTCACTATGTAGACTAGGCTGGCCCTCTGCCTCCTGTGCTGGGATTAAAGGCATGCACCACCACACCTGGCTTATTTATATTTTTATATTTTTAATTTAATTTTATTTTTTTGATCTTTTTGAGACAGGGTCTCCCAGTAGCTCCAGCTGACCTGGAATTCACTATGTAGACCAGGCTGGCCTTGAACTCACAAAGATCTGCCTGCCTCTGCTTCTGGAGTGCTGGAATTAAAGGTGTGCACCACCGCGCCCAACTTTTGTTTATTATTTTTATGTGTATGTGTGCATTGCCTGCATGTATATAAGTACACCCATGTTATGCAATGCCTGTGGAGGTCAGAAGAGGGTGCTGGATCCACTAGAACTGGAGTTCTGGACAGCTTAGCCGCCATGTGGGTGCTGAGATTCGAACCCAAGTCCTCTATAAGAGCAGTCAGTGCTCTTAACTGCTGAGTCATCTCTCTAGTCCCTATTTTTTCCTTTAAGTAATTTGGTGATGCCCTCCTTTAATATGCACTGGGGAGGCAGAGGCAGGCAGATCTCTGTGAGTTCAAGGCCAGCCTGGTCTACATAGTAATAATATCCAGGCCAGCTGGAGCTATGGGGAGACCCTGTCTCAAAAATACCAAAAAAAAAAAAAAAAAAAAAAGTAATTACTGAATTCGTATTTTAACAACTGTTTTCAAATTCATTATTTTCTCTTCTTATCTATTAACGTCTTATTCTTAAACGGTTATGCATTATTTATCCTTACTTTTCAAGCCAACAAAAAATATCCTGAATTATTTTTTGTAAATTCGTTTTCTTTACAGAAAATTTTAATTTGGAGAAAAAAAAACAAAAAAGACCTTACATTTAACTTTTAGAACAAAAATATTAGATCCTAAATGGAATTCATCATAACTCATATATATATATACACACACACACATATATAAAACATTTCTTCTCATCAAATTTCAGAGTTTAAAAACAGAAATTAAAAAAAAAAAAATCTTACCTCTTTTGCAGTACCTGCTCTTCCAGGCTCATGATTTATACAAAAAGGGCCAGTTTTCCATGCCTCTATGTCTCCACAGTCACAAAACCCTCCTCCAGTAGAAGTATGCATCTGATAAATGAAAAATGAGATTTTCATGGTACCAGAATGTATTATAAAGCAGTGAAAAATGGGAAAGTTGATTCAAATAGATGCTCACCAACATGTCACCCTTAATTTCATCTAATCTAATACAATCCAAATAGAACCTCACTCATGCCAGGCAAGCACTCTACCACTAAGCTACATTTCCATTTCCAGCCCTAATACTTTTTAAATCTTGTATTTGTAGGGTTTTTGGTTGTTTTGTTTGTGCATGCCTAATACTTTTTAAATCTTGTATTTGTAGGGTTTTTGGCTGTTTTGTTTGTGCGTGCTGGCCTGCGTGCATGCATACATGCATTTTGTTTTGTTTGCTTTTGAGACATGGTTTCTAGCTAGCCTAGAATTCACTATGTAGCCCAGGCCAGCCTTGAACCAGCAGCAATCCTCTTGCCTCAACCTCTCAAATTCTAGGATTACAGAGATGAGCCACCATAACCTGACTGGATATTAGTGAAAGATGATATATATTGTCATCATGCAGAACAGGTCTATAGAATATATAAATCATGCCAATGACTTTTTTTTTTTTTTTTTTTTTTTTTTGGTCTTTTTGAGACAGGGTCCCCCTGTAGCCCAGCTGTCCTGGAACTCACTATGTCGACCAGGCTGGCCTTGAACTCACAGAGATCTGCCTGCCTCTGCCTCCCGAGTGCTGGGATTAAAGGCGTGTTCTACCACACCCGGCATTCTAATAACTGTTTTTATAATTAACTCTTGGCTGTCAGCTTTGCTTATTCTTTGGTCCTTTTGATCCTAACCCTTTAATTCACTTAAACAAATGTTTACTGAAAGCTTCTGTGTTCTAAGTACTATGGCAGGCATAGAAGGTACAAGTACACAAGAGGTTTAGAGTTAAGTGGGGACACACAGCACACACAAATAAGATGGAGAAAGGGACAGAGGAAAAAGCGGCTGCCAGTAGGGTTTGTTTTTTTGTCTCCAAGTAAGTCTTAATTGGTTTGCAGAGATGTTCAGTAAAAGAGTATCATATCACTCAAGGTGACAAGCAGGCCTGATTTTTGAATCAGCTTCCAAGATACAAGATAAAGTGAACTTAGCCTTAATTTTGGTTCCATTTGATCAAATTATATTATTAGGATCTTTGATTCTTAGAACTTAGCCTACTTATCAAATCAAAGAATTTGATCCCATCTGTAAGCACAGTAGCAAAATAAGCAGCAAAAGATACACTGTAAAATGAAGGCTTTGGGTTTGTTTCTTTCTTGTTCTAAAAAACTGTCTTAGACTATTCTGCCACTGATCATTTTTCTTGATCCTCTGTCCACATACCAGCATATCCAGTCTGTCCCAACCATGACTCTTCCTCCTCTCAAACAATACAGATCTCATCTTATTCCTTCCAATTGTTAATAGCTATATCTCTTTATTTTATGAAATATTTGTTTTCAAAGGCATATACACAAGGTAGAGGTAATTCACAAAGTGCAACAGTGCAAAGAACATCCACTAACCCAGGATCCAGCCCAAGAAAATTAATACTACTGAAGTTCCCAGTCCCATCCTGAAGGTAGCTACTTGTCTGAACTGCTTATCAGTTGTTCTCTCATTTTCCTTCAGAAGTTTCACCACACATATTTGTATCTCAGAAAGCTTCTACCAACTTACTTGGCAGCAAAATGCTTCATTCTCTGTACATACACTTCTGAATTTTTTTAAGCTTATAATTTTTAAAAATATTTTTAAATTATGTATTATTTTTATTTTATGTGTATGAGTGTATGGCCTGCATGTATGTAAGTGCACTCATGTTGTGCAATGCCCTTGGAGGTCAGAAGGCATTGGATCCCCTGGAACTAGAGTTACAGATGGTTGTTAGCTGCCATGTGGGTGCTGGGAATCAAACCCAAGTCCTCTGCAAGAGCAGTCAGTGCTTTTAACCACTGAGTCATCATCTCTCTAGCCCCTTAAACATAATTTTTTCTTTGTCATACAAAAGTCCATCTTTCTATGTTCCAGGCTGGCTAGAACTTGCAATCCTCCTGCCTCTGTATCCCAAGGGCTGGGATTACAGGCATATACCACAACAGGCTTATGAAAGCTCAGATAAAAAATCTCTGGTTAAGCTGTACAAGCACCAACTAGAGCTTGGCAAAAAACCCTAAAAATGGCAAACCCAAGGGCAGTTCACATGTTCTGTGGTAGCAAGGCAGTCGAAGTTTTAAATAACCTGAAGACAGTTTAGTAAACAGGTTCTTCGAAAATAATAGAGACATTTGACTGATCCAAAGGAAAATGAGAAAGAAAGACAAAGTGGGGCAAGTCCCATAAGAAGCACATATATCCTACTTCAAGACTGCACTTTCTTCTCAGATTACCCTACTTCCTTGTAAGTAAAATATCTTTTCCTTCATAAAATAGTAGAAGATGGCAGATAAGTTTTTTTGTTTGCTGCTCATTTGTCCTTTTTTAAATATTTTATTTATTATTTTTGTTTTATGTGTATGAGTGCATTGCCTGCATGTATGTAAGTGCACCCATGTCATATAATGCCCGTGGAAGCCAGAAAAAGGCAATGGATTCCTTGGAACTGGAGTTATAGACAATTGTTAGCCACCACGTGGGTGCTAGGAATCAAACCTGGGTCCCCTGCAAGAGTAGTCAGTGCTCTTAACAACTGAGCCATCTATACAGCCCCTCATTTGTCTTTTGGAAAAAAGTAAAATCCAGGTTAGAGAGATGGCTGATAGTCTTCAGGCCCACAAATCCCAAAGCTTGGAAAACACTGCTTAGCAGTCTTTAAAATCTAAGGAACTTGAAAAACTATGATTTTGAGACTTCATTTTACCTTCCCTTTATCCTCCCAGAATAAAAATGAGAAGAAATTAACAACTTTCTCTTTTCTCTATATCTAGGATTATTTCTTGAGTTCCCTAGCAAAGAAAAAACTACACTTTGGGCTAGGGTTGTAGGTCCATGGTAGATCACTTGTCTAGCATGTGTAAAACCCTGTTCTTGAGTCCCAGTACCAGGGGTAAAAAAACTATAATAAAAATGATCATATGGAATATTACCAATGATCAACTTTATAAATTTCATCAGTAAAATTACCTTAAGCAATCATGGGAAAACATTTTAATTTCACTATAGCATATGCTCCTCAAATTCCTTTTCCATGTGCACAATAAGCCCATTAACCTATAGACCTTCCTGAGATAGAAATGGTAATGCTGAGGCCATTCTAAAACCATGAGTAAAACTCTCAAGTTTACAAAAGACATGGTCTATATAACTTGAAAATGTTATTGACATTTACAGTACTTTAGGCATGTTATATATACAAAGAGAAACATCAATTATCATGTCTGTCTGAGTCTGGAATATAGAATCAGGAGTATTATTTGAGAAATTAACTTAGCTTCAAATAACAAGTTTGTCTAACAATTCAACAGAAAAGGCAAAAGTCTAGACCCCATTATTAATTAAGAAAATGCAAACAAGAATAGCTAAATGTATGAGACTGATGCATTGCCTACTGCACTAAGGAGGCACCTAAGAATAGCTAAATTTAAAACAACTTACAGTACCAAATCTCCCAAGAATGTGGAAAATGGGAATTCTTATCAACAATTTTAGAATTTATATTTGGTATAATCACTTTATACATTACCCAAGTGTGGGTAAAGATTTACATACCTTAGAACTCAATGATATATAACCTAAAGAAATCCTGCCTGAATATATATCAGAACATACTCATAGCAGAATTATTAGCAGTACTAAGTTAGAAACAATCTACATATCCATATGCAATACACTAAAGACAATATAGTTTATTAAAGACCACCAGACAAACTACATACATAGGCTGTTCATAAAGAACTACATACAATATGACTCCATCTACAGATAAATCTTTTCAATATGGTTTAAGTGCTTTAAGCTAAAGGGAGAGAAAACAAACAAGGAAACCATTATCACAAAACACAGTGAAGAGTTTCTCAATGGAGAAAAGAGTGACTGAGATCCAGAAAGGTCAAAGGGGGGCTTCTGAGATCTGGCTTGTCCTATTCCTTGACTCAGTAATAGTCACACAGGTATTTGGTTTACATTTATTCTTTAAACCATTTATGTGCTTGATATAATCTCTTTAAAAATAGGTCATACCATGGGTTGGAAAGATGGCTCAGCAGTTAAGAGCACATACTGCTCTTGCAAAGGACCTGAGTTCAGATCCCAGAGTCATGTTGGATGGCTCACAACTTCCTGTAAGTACGGCTCTAAGGCAACCCAATGCCTCTGGCTTCTGCCCATACCCACACCCATGTGCACGCACCCACACATAGATACACACATACACATAATTTTTAAAATAATCTTTAAAAAAGAAAAAAATTTCAAAATATGTTAAACCAAGAAGCTCTAAGGAGATACTTCTTGAGGTAGCTACTTTATCACATGATACATTTAACTAGAGTTCCATATATCAGAGCTATTTAGCAGGAAAGCAAATACTGGTCAAGAATTTGGACTAGATGATTTTCTGTATCTATTTTCATACCTTATAACGATGATTTTTATGAACACTATTCTGGAAGCAGTCCATACAGAGTACACATGTTGGATCAATAGCACAATCCCTGAAAAAGATTAAAAAAAAAAAAATAGATTCCAAAAATTGACTTCCACTGACACTTAAGGTGTCACTGTAATATTATTGAGTTTCCTGTATGAAATGAATACAAAAATGCCTCAAATCTCAGTTATTAGAATGTTCTGAGAAAAGACAGTATTGCTAGCATAATTTTAGCCTATTTCAGCCACATTTGAGTCTAAATATGGATGTCTGGTTTATAACTTTGAACTTTAGCTGGTTTCAAACTGCTAATTATGTGAGGCACTACATGAAAATTAGTTATGGAAAAATAAGTTTTACTCCATTATCTGCCATCATCTTCCTCTTATTTACACTTATATTTCAAAAGCACCGTGTACTGAAACTGAGGCTTTGATAAGGATGGAATTCCCTGGAATACAAGTACTATAAAGGAAGAGATTTTTAATTTATATACTAATTAATGTTCCAAACACCTAGAACAGTACATGGCACACAATTATGTACTCAATCATTGGGTGAATGAAAGAAATCTTATTTCTTTTTACCTCTCCCCCTAATAACTTTTAAAATATATTATTCTTTTTCGTATTTTCAGGAAAACACTAAAACATCAATTACTAAAAAAATATAGAATTAACTTTTTTTAAAGATTGGAAGAGATGAAATCATCAAGTTAAAAAAAAAAATTTGGAGCTGGGTATGGTGGCACACACCCATACTTCCTGCACTCTCCAGGCTAATGCAGGAGGAGGCCAGTCTAATATACTGAGACCCTGTCTCAAAAATTACACATACAAAAAAGGAATTTCAGAGCTAGAGAAGGAGACAAAAGAAGAAGAAAAGGGAAAGCCTAGAATTACAATAAAGCAAAAATTTCTCTGTTGAATTAATAACAGTTAAATTTACAGCCACTTTTGAAAGAGATGTGTCTTTGCTCTGGAAATTATTATCGAATGTGTTAAAGCTGTAATGAAATGCCTCTTCTAACCAAGTGGTTATTGAATAAAATAAATTAATAAAAAAATTTCTCTGGTCTACAATGATCTTCAAGATAACTTCTCTTACCAAGAACAAAAATCCTAAACCTGCCTCCAATTTCCATACAACTGACCTTTTGTTCCCACAGGTCTACAAACCCCTTATACCCCCAAATCCTGGAAGGTTTTATTACTTTGTGGGCTTGCACCAAATCTTATCTGGTGGTAAAAATAAATAAGTAAATAACGTATGTAATTTTATATAAATTTTAAAAATACACACATATATGTATAAAACCTGGACACTGGGCCTCATGCCTATTATCCCAACACTTGGGAGGCTGAGGCAGCAGGATTACCATGAGCCCAAGCTAGCCTGGGTTACACAGTTAAGTTACAGGCCAGCTTGGGTTACATAGTAAGTTCTAAGCTAGCATGGGCAACAAAATAAGACTGTCTCAAAAAAAGAAAAGAGAGAAAAAAATATGTCTGTATATACATATGATACAATGTGACATGTGACTATAAACTTCACATCACTTGCTGTGAATATTCATAGATTTCTTACAGAAACCTTGTTGTGTCTGATCATAAGGTTCTATTGAGACTCTGCTGAGGAAGTAGTCAAAATTCTGAAATATATCTGATCTCAACTGTCTCAGATAATATGCTGATTACATCACACAATGTAAAAATCTATTTCTTGTATGCTTTTGAAGAACAGGAAGAAAGAGAGAAAGAACTGTTTAACTACAAGTCATATACTCAAAAAGCTGTAAGAGCAAAATGGACCTAAATGTAAAATAAAAGCAGCTTACTTAAGATTAAATATACCACAGTCAGGAGTAAACCAAGAAAAATATGTCTTGAAATAGGCATAATGCAAACTGGAACTGATCCTCTAAATTCCTGATGCTTACCTACAAGAATATGTTGTTTCTCCACTTTTGAAAACCTTCCCACACAGCTGAAATGCTCCACTGTGCTTTAATTTCTCTAAGCAAATGTCTGGATCTTCTCCAAATAAGTACCACTCCAATGGAGTGAATATTGACATTTGTACATTCTCTTCTTGCTTCTCCAAATCTGGATCCATCTCAGCAAAATAAATTTCTGGCACCAACTGTGCCAAATGGTGCAAAAAAGCAGAATAAAAATCAACTTGCTGATCCCACCACTGGAAGAAAAGAAGATGACAATCAGGCTTTTTTTTTTTTTTTTACAAGTTAAAAAAAAATTATTGAATACAAAATTTCATTAATTCCTTGAGAATTTCATATATGCATACAATGTGTCTTGATCATATTCATCCCCAAGTCCTCCCCCTAACTCCTCCCAGAACCACCTCTATCTCCCCACCTCCTCCCAACTTCATGTTCTTTCCTTTTTATATATACGTAATCCACTGAGTCCAATTTGTGCTGCCCAGATACTCATGGGTATGAAGCCATCCAATGGAACATGCTTGACCTACCAGGAGTCACACCCTTAAAGACAAGTTCTTTCTTAATGATCTAGAGTACAAGTAATGGCATGTACTTTCAATGTGGCTTACAACATTTTTATCCTTCACCAAGACAAAAAAAAGAATTTAATTGAGTCAGTGAGAAAGCTCAGCAGATAAAGATGCATGCCACCAAGACCAACAACCTGAGTTCTAGCCTCAGGATCCCATGATCGAAGGAAAGAACCAACATCTGCAAGTTGTCCTCTGGCCTCCACATGTATGTCATGACACATGTGTACCAAAACATATGCACACACTCATAATATAAGTAAATAAACAAATTTTAAAATGCTTCTTAAAATTTATATGTGTTTTGCCTACATGTATGTAAATGCACCCATGCATACAATGCTTACAGAGGCCAGAAGAGGGAGTCAGATCACCTAGAACTGACTCATAGCAGCTGTTATGTGGGTGCTGGGAACAGAATCCAAGTCCTTTGCAAGAGCAGCCAGTGATCTTAACAACTGAGCCATCTCTCCAGCTCCTTAAAAATGCCTTTTAAAAAAGCATTAATCAGGGGCTAGAGAGATGGCTCAGCGGTTAAGAGCACTGACTGCTCTTGCAGAGGACCTGGGTTCGATTCCCAGCACCAACATGGTGGCTATGAACTGTCCTTAACTCCAGTTCCAGGGGAATCCAAAGCTCTCTCTGACCTCCACGGCATTGCACAACATGGGTGCACTCACATACATGCAGGCAATACACTCATACATATAAAAATAAAAAAAATAAAATATTGAAAAAAAAAGCATTAATCAGGTGGGCATGGTGGCACACGTCTTTAGTCCTAGCACTCAGGAGGCAAAAGCAGGTGGATTTCTGTGAGTTCAAGGCCAGCCTGGTCTACATAGTGAGTTCCAGGTCAGCTGGGGCTACAGGAGACCCTGTCTCAAGACCAAAAGAAAGCATTAAGCATGAGCCATAAATTCAACACAACTGTTCTAAAAAATGAGAGGGTACAGATATTATATGTCCTGATATGTAATATTCTTCAAGGTCACAGATATTATATGTCCTGATATGTAATATTCTTCAAGGGCACAGATATTATATGTCCTGATATGTAATATTCTTCAAGTATGCTGCAAAATAAAAGGCAAAAGGCACACAACAGTGAGTACACATTATACACATACTATTTATAAAGTGATGGGGGAGATACAGTATATGCTTATAGTTCAATAGAAGAAAAGGCTGGGATGTAGCTCAGGTGATAGTGTGCTTGCTTAGCATACAGGAAGTCTTGGAGGTCTCATCCACAGCACTACATTAAAACTGGGTATGGTGGCACATACCTGTCATTCCAACACCCTGGAGGTGGAGGAAAGAGGATCAGAAGTTTAAAAGCATCCTCAAGATACATGGTAAGTTCAAGGCCTGGGCTATACGGGGCCTGTCTCAAAAAACAAAAAACAAACAAACAAAAAAACTCTGAATAAATTAACAATGGAAAGAGCCCCGGGAAGGGTCTAGTTTTCACTGTGCATAACCCTTTATTATGATTTAAATGTGCAATGTTCCCCATAAACCCATGTGTTTAAACAGTTGGTCTCTGGCTAGTGGCATTGCTCTAGGAGGTGGTGGAACGTAGATGGAGGCAGTAGGTAGCAGGGGCTGACTTTGAGGGTGAAAGGCCAACTTTTAGCACCCTCTTGCCTAATCTCTTTGTTTCCTAGTTAGCCACAGGTATGTGAGTAAGCCACCTTGGGTTCCCAGCACCACAGGCAGCATGCCCTTCTGGCCATGGAACTGTAAGCCTAAAGACTCATTCTTCTACTTGCGTCTGTCGGGTGTTTTGCCCCAGCAAGGAGAAAAGTAACATATATCTTTTTTATATTTACAATTTTTATTCATACACACATACATAAATATGACTTATCTGTAGACATAATTTTAAATCATTTACTACTATACATTTCAGCAGGCACAAAATTATTTATAAAAGCACAACCCTAAAAACTAGGTTTGATCTCTGGCACCACACACACAAAAAGCAAAACAAAAACCTAGGTATGTTAAATCATATTGAGTTCAATGCTTATTCTGCTAAACCAAATATAAACATATATGCAGGTCTTTTAATTTTACCCTTATTGACCTACTTGGTTTCACACCACAGTAAAACAAAACAAAGATCTTTGATTTCCCTTTAATCTTTTTCTAGTCTAAATGAAGCCCCTTAGCTAACATGTATTGTTTGCATGTAGTAGGTGCACCCCATCAGGAAATGCCCTGGGAGAGGGTCAGAAGAGGGCATCGAATCTCCAGGAACTGGAGTTACAGACAGTTGTTAGCTGCCATGTGGGTACTAAACCTGCGTCCTCTGCAAGAGCAGTGTTCTTAACTGCTAAGTCATCTCTCCAGCCCCACTACTAAATATTCTTAAGCTGTATCTCTCTCATTATTACATGCCTTAACATGAAGAATTGATACTATTAAAGACATGTTGGAGTCCAGCATGGTGGCACACACCTTTAATCCGAGCACTTGGGAGGCAGAGGTAGGCAGATCTCTGTGGGTTCCAGCTCAGCCTGGTCTACATAGTGAGTTCCAGATGACCTAGGGCTACAAGGAGACCCTGTCTCAAAAAGACCAAAAAAAAAAAAAAAAAAAAAAAAGACATGTTGGTCAATTTGGGCAGAATGCATGAATGCTGATGCTGGCAGAGCCTTTCTAGGGGTCTGACTACTAATTAGCTCTCTATCCCTCTACTCTGCACTCTCTCTCTGCTTCAAGGCCCAACTCAAGACCCAGCTTCATGAATCCTTCCTTCACAGGTAAGTCCAAGAAAACTTCTCTCCTGTTAATGCTAATATAGTACTTACTGGAGAAGACACTCATTCTGTACCTTACTAGCTGACATCATTGGTTACAAATACTCACTTGTTCCCCTTAGCAGTGCTGGGGATTGTACTCTGTGCTAGAAAAAACAAAGGAAATGTCGGCATTAGGCCATCTGTAACTTTGTGTACAGAACTTGCACAGTACACAGTAAAATCATAGCCTTTCACACACACAAATTCCACTATTGTCACAACTCTGGAATTTGCTTGTTTGTTTTATTTTTTTTGAGATAGGCTATCACTCTATAGCACAGGCTGGTCTTGAACCATGGTAATTCTCCTGCCTCAGCCTCCTGATGCTTAGATTATAAGTATGAGCCACCATATCCAGCTTTGAAAATTGTTTTTCAAACTAAAATTTCTGTCATTCTTTCCAGATGAAAAAACAACAGCAAACTATTACAAGGGCCAGCAAGATGTTTCAGCGGGTAGAAATGCTTGCACACAGGCCTGATGACCTAAGTTCGATCCTAGATCCCACAAGGTAGCAAGAAAAAAGCAACTCCTGAGAGTTGTCCTCTGACCTCCACACATGTACTATGGAGCCTGAGCGCCAACACTCACATGCATACACATACATGACCCCATACACACATATACAAAATTAAATAAGTAAAAATGTTTTTAAATTTTACAATATATATTTTGCTGAGTAAACAAAGTATTCAGGAATTATTATTGGTAAATATTTCTTTTTTTTCCCTTTAGCTGGTTTTAGTATTTTCCTTCAGTTGCAACAGAATAAAATTTAAAATGTTAACTTTAATGACCAAAAAAACCCTCATTTTCTTCATAACATTCAGAATTAAGGAAAGGCTTTCCTAACTGATTGTCCTATAAAAGCAAGTTCTCACAACATTTAAATTCCCAAACATTCCAAACATTTTCCTCATCCCCATGGAGACTAACAGATATGTCACAACTCTGTCTAAAATTTGTGGGATGCCTGTACAGGAACATCATTCCAGAAAAGAAACTTTAGTAGATTCTTGTTCAAACTACAATTTATCCTTCCTTAAGACAATTGTTAACATCTACAGAGCCTTCAGAGCCCCTATTGCTTTTTAAATTCTTTTTTAAAAACCAAAGGGTATATATATGCTGGGTGTGGTGGTGCACGCCTTTAAACCCAGCACTTGGGAGGCAGAGGTAGGCGGATCTCTGTGAGTTCAAGGCCAGCCTGGTCCACATAGTGAGTTCCAGGACAGCTGGGGTTACAGGGAGACCTTGTCTCAAAAAGACCAAAAAAAAACAAAAAAAAAAAACAAAGGGTGCAACAAAATCTAGAGGATCTGGAACTTATCATAGGCAACACTGAATGAGCAATTCGAGAGCATTTCTACGCACGAAGAACTCTGTTTCAACAAAGTTTTCTACTACTTTGTTTTGTACTATTCGACAAGCTCACAAAGTTTAAGAACAAACAACAAAACTGTAGTCCATGCATGAGATCCGAGGTACAACTGCCAGTATTGCAAGTAAACAAATAATCAGGAAAAAAAAACCTCATGAACTGTAGTTCATCTGTTTATTTTACATATCTGATAATCAGCAACATAAACCCAGCTGAACACTTCTCAGCCAGCTTCCATTTTTACAGCTTACAATTAACTCAGAATCTATCATCCTATAACTTTTATCCTGGGTAACCTGAAATAATTCAGTATCATTCACTCTGTTCTTTCACCTAACAGTCATTCAAATAAATGAAGATAACTACTTTGTCTCTCATTAAGCTCTTCACTCCCCAACTAAACTGGAATGAAGGGACTAAAGATATTTATCCATCACAGAAATGAAATTTGGCCAACCCTAGAGAGATGG